GCTGGAGTCTATTCTTAGCCCTGCAGGGAAAGGAGCGGGAGTCCCTGTGCTGTCACTGCACAGGGTTGAGGGCTGCAGGGTCCCATCCCCTCCTGGTCCCCTGGAGCCTGGCCCAGCCCCAGGGAGCACTGAGGCAGGAGGGACTGCACCCAGAGAGGGACAAACTCCGGCTTTTGGCCAAAGAGGAGCTGGGGAGACAGCGTCAGGGAGGGATGTCCCAGCACCTCTCCCAGCATCCTTGCAGGATTCAGCATCCCCAGGGAGCAGCTGCAGCAGAGGTGGCTTTGGAAGAGGTCCCTGCTCTTGCAAATCTGCTTTTCTGCCTGGGCACTGGGATAGTGGGGGACTTCAAGTTCCATCTCCTGCTGCCTTCAGGGACAGGAGGTTTAAGGGGAGTTCAGGGGTCTGAGCTGAGAGTCACCCCTCACTCTGTGTTGTGCTGGGACCAGACCTGCTTTGCCCAGCTCTGGCCAGGAGCTGCTGCTTCCCACCCCAGCGTTTCCCAGTGCTTTCCATGTGTGCTCCAGACCATGGTGGCCAGGGAGCCACTAACCACCAGCATCACCCCATCCCTGCATCGCACTGGGGGGCCTGCTCAGAAACGCAGGGAGGTGCTGGGTGACCCCCAGCCTCATCCAGGGGAGCAGGGAGCACAGCACAGGGAGAAAAACACCCACGGGCGGGCAAACCACAGCCAGCCCAGCGCTTGGCTCCTCTCTCCATCCCAGACCTGCAAGGATCAGGGCAGGATGAGGGGCGGGCAGGGATGCAGCTGTGCACGGGGGGCCACGGGGAAGAAGCCCTGGCTCCATAGCAACAGGTACTCGCCACGTAATGGAGTCCTTTCCGCTCGGCCTCCGCAGCCGCCAGCCTTGTTCGCATGGCCATAAATAATTCAATTTTCTCATTCACACACATGAATGCTGCGGGCTGGGGCTCCGGGTGTGCTCAGCCTCCATCTGTCTGGGGGGAAAAGGGGGAGGTAGGGCCTGATAATAGACCCCAGCGTTTGTTTAACATGGATGAGTGTGGCCAGATGGCCTGGGGATGGGAGGTGGGGATGGGGAGGTCGGAGGTGAGGGATGCTCTGAGGTTTTCCTGGCACCCTGAGCATCTCCTGCATGAGGAGGGGAGGAGAGCAGGGGACTGGCATGGGGATGAACTCTAGCACCTCCAAATCAACACACACCTCCAAATCAGCCTTGAAGATGTGGACTTTTGGGCTGGGAGTGGGTTATGTGAGTGCAGAAAGCCCGTTCTCACATTGTGTTTTTGGCACCTTCCCAACAGAGAAGAAGGGATGGGAGAAGGGTCACACTGTGCTGAGGATAGCCCTGATCCCTGGTGAGACCCTGAGCTGGGAGCATGGGAGTCAATCCAGAACTGAGATAATTCATCTGGAGATGGTGAAGGGGAAGGGGCAAGGGGTACTGCTGCTCACTGTCCCATCTTGTGCTGCTGGGCAGGGATCAGCAGCCCCCAAAACAACCCCAAAGAATAACAGCCCCAGTGATGCAGAGACACCCTGCAGCTCGCTAATGCAATTAGCAGGCTCAGGGCCACCCCTTGGCAGGGACACAGCAGGCCTGGCAGGAGAAAACAAGGGAATTAGCAGGGTTAGGAGGCTGCACTTGAAAAGCTTGCATGTTGCTGCTGAAGAGCCAGAATCCGCTGCGTGCACAAGACGAGCTGGGCTGGGAGGCAAGGGATGCTGGCTACTGCCCAGTGGCAGCAGTTCCTTGCTTTTTCCCCCCTTGGCTTGGTCACAGTCCAGCCCAAAGCGTGTCAAGGGCAGTGTGAAAGCTGGTATCTCCATCCCCTCTTGGTGTCTGACTGGAGGGAGCCGTTGCTCCAGCACACGGTGACAGCCTGAGCCTTGGGTGGGCTCAGACCCAGTGAGAAAATACAGACCAGCAAGGAGCCTTGAAGGTGGAACTGGTCACTTCACCTTAACTCTGCCTCTCATGGGGGAAGGTTTGGGCTTCTCACCACTGGAGCAAGGTCCTGACCTCATTCACCACCCAGAGAAATCCCCATAGGAGACCCCACTCCTGCTTAAGGCAGTGACAAGCAGGCACTTAGCTTCCAGTTCAGTCACTGTCTCTAATTGAAGCCTACAGAGCTGGAAAAGGGAATTCAGATGCTGCCAGAAGGAGGGTCAGGAGAGGAGCCTGAGCTCTGGCAGTGTTATCCGTCACCAGCATTGGAAGAGTTTCCCCTGTGGGAATGGGGGGAGGTGGAAGCTCCTGAGAGTGTAACCAGCCCTCGCTGGCATTTCCCAGCACCGCCGCCTATTTGGGTACAACACGTGTGTTTGTCTGTGTATTTGGGTGCCCTCACATACAGGCATGGATTCTCTTCTGGGTACATGCTCTCACTGGATTTTGAAGCAGTAAAGATCTCCTAGATAGCACATGTCTGGACCATTAGGCATCGCCAGCCACAACTCCTCCCTCATGTCATACATCCCCTGCCTGCTCCATGTGTCCATCCACAAAGATCTGAGCAAGACCCCACAGCCTGGGACTGCTCAGCTTGACTTGCACCTTTTAGCATCACTGGAACAACAGGCAGTCCTCTCTCCTGCCCATCTAGTATTTAATTAACTCCTGCTTTCCACACCTGCTACTCAAGCAGCTCCTGCCCCACACACAGTGCAGGGGGGCAGGAGCCTGACTCTGTGCCTGGGAGCAGACTCCCCCCAGCAGCTCTCTCCCGTGGGTCCTGCACCCTCCGAGCATCCCCTCAGGAGCTGCCCATGGAGCAGCAGCTTCAGCCTACCCAAAGCTCCCCCAGCTTGCCAGCTGTGCCTGTAGAATGACTTGGAGCAATGAGGGGAGCAAAGGCTCCAGAGCATCCTGGGGGTCCACGGGCACTCCCCCCCAGTCTCCCAGGCCACGTGCCGGGAGGTGCAGGCTGTGCCCCTGTGCTTTGGCTGCTGCCAAATGGACCAAAAGATGTGAAGGCCACCCAGAGATTTCCACCCATTACTTTTTATTTTACCTCTCTCACCCCAAAACCAGGCCCAGCCTAAACCCTCAGCATCTTTTGAAGGAGGGATGGCACAAACATACCACTGCTTATTCCTTCAGCTCCCAGTGCTGCAGAAGCACAATGTGGAGATCCCAGCTCCAGCAGGCTCCTCTCTCCCAGGGTGCCAGGGGCAGCTGCATCCTTGGCTTCACCCTGGTCCTCAAGGATGGACCATAGAGTCGCTGAAGCATGGTCCCCTACCCTGTGGGCCCCATGTCCCCATGACATCTGTCCCTGGGAAGGCTGCAGAGGCAGCCCAGGCTACTAGCCATGGGGTTTGCCTGAATCCCCTAGCTCCCATCGTGGCCACCCCTGAGGGACCAGTTGCTCTGTGGCTGCTGGTAGTCCATGAGGGCTCCTGTGGATCTGGGTCTGTAGGCAGTGGTGGGCTTGGGAAGACCTGCAAGGGCTGCCTGGTGGGAGCTGCCAAGGAGTTTGGTGACTTGCACAGTCACCACTGGGATATGTCCTGTGGGAAAGGACACAGCACATCTCCACCTTGCTCTTCTCTGAGCTTCTCCCAGGTCTCAGACCATTTTTCTATCCTGCTCCCTGCCTACACATCCAAGTGGCACTGAATGGATGTACTTACCTGCTGCTTGCCCCATCAGAGCTGTAAGAACAGGGGGACAAAGCCCTGAGGACCAGGCAGAGATGGTCCTTCTTCCTCCCAAGATGAGGAACGCAGCTCCTCTACCCCTGCCCCTGCTTGCTTCTACAGTGTGCACCACAGCTCCTGGCATCACCCGTGGCTCCTGGCATCACCCACAGTCCCTCAGGGCTTGGCCTTGGTGGATTTCAGGTGCCCAGCATGGTACCAGCTCTGAGGGTCCCCTTGGTAAGGACCACAACAGAGATAAGGAAATGCCCAAGGCTCTTGCCTGGGGGGTGACATAGAAGGACAGCAGATGCCCAGAGGTGGGCATCTTCTGGGATGGTCTGGGAAAGTCGACTAGCAGGGGATGAAGACCCTCACACCCAGGGCAGGAGCATCCCAGCCCTTTTATGGGAGCAGGGATTTGCCACCTCAGGGTTTTCTTGTCCCAGGGGTTGTCCTGTCTTCTGGAATAATCCCTGTGTCCTGCCTGCAGGTGTGGGGAAGGTGGCAGGGTCCCGGATGGGAGTTGTCTGTCCAGGGTTTGGATTCCTGGGGGACATCGGCGGGGTGCAGCCCCGAGTGCCGGCGGCGGCGTCTGGAGCTGCAGCCCGGCGGTGTCCCCGGCGGGACGGGGGTCGCGGGGCGCAGCCTTACCTGGGGGGAACCTCTGCGGGGAGCGGGTGCGGGACCCGGCTGGTTTTTGGTGGGATGGAGGGTCTTGAGGGCTGCAGGTCCCCCCGTTCTCAGGTGCGGAGACAATAGCCAGGGCTCCTGTTGCAGCTGCAGACTGTCTCTTTAAACCCCTCACCAGCCCACAGGTGGCCCTGTCACCACCGTGGTCATCCATGACGTCATCAGGAGGGAGGGAAGAGGGAGGAGGAGGGGGGGAAAGACGCGATCCCCCTCCACAGCAAAAGTCCCCGAGCGCCCATGGCAACAGATTGCAAATGTCACTGCGCATCAGCCGGGAGGAGGCTGACACGGGGGGGAACAGGGCTGTCACGCCACGGGTGGCACGGATGGGACAGGGCTGTCACCCTATGGGTGGCACGGGGGGGACACGAGGGTCTCTCCCGCCGGTGGGTGCAGAGGAGGGGACAGGGCTGTCCATGGGTGGCATGGGGAGGACAGGGCTGTCACCTTGCGGGGGATGCAAGGGGGACACACGGGGTATCGCACAGACAGGTGGCACGGGCGGGTCACAGGGCTGCCCCCCCTAACGTCTGGGTGACACGGAAATAACGGGGCTGTCACCCACTGGTGGGTGCAGGGGGGGACAGGGCTGTCACCCTGCACAGGGGGCTGTGGGCTGAGCAGGTGTGGAGCAGCCAGGTGCCCCCTGCAGGGGTGGGTGCTGCTGTCCCCTTACCCCGGAGGGTGCAGGTCCCGGCCTGTCCCCTGCGCTTTGGGGATCCCCTTTAGCGAGCGCTGGCACCAGGTACCAGCCATCTCCATGGGCGCCTGGGAAGACCAGGTACCCCAGTGCCCCCCAGCTCCTGCCCCGGGTCCTGCCTGGGCTTTGCCCCTGCAGCAGGACATTCTGCAAAGGCCAGGAGAGTTTCAGAAGGTGTTTAAAGCAGATCTCACCTTCAGCCAGAGATAAGACGACCCCAGGAGGAAGAAAAGGGTCCCCAGCCCCACACCCACAGACCTCAGACCTGCAGACCCCATCCCAGGGGTGATGCTCACATTCACAGTCTGCAAAAGCCACCCAGGTACACTTCAGAGCCCCTGGCACCAGGCAAAAGGAGAGCAAGGGATGCTCTGATGGCCAGAAAGGTTTCCTTTGTGCTGCAAAGGTCCATGGGTGCTCAGCCTTCCAATTTGGCTTTGACAGAGAGTGATACTGGTGGGACCTGCCCAGTGTGGGGAGAGGGGCTGCAGCCTGGGGATTCTTGGTGGGGCTGAGGAGCCATCAGTCCTGCCTACAATAGACAGGACCTTTTAATCCCCTTTATAAAACCATGTGCAAATGTGTAAGTGGATCCACATGCAAGGAGAGCCTCAAACTCTGCAAACATGAATAAAGTCACCTCCAGGCTTAGAGCAGAACTGAATACTGAATTACATCCTGTTTTATTGGAAAAAATGAGAGACATCTGAGGTCTCCCTCTGCTCTTTTCTAACACCAACAAGACCTTCCCCAGCTGAAGGTTGTCACTACCATCATTAGGATGCTTCACCCTAAAAAACTCCCTGGAGACAGCTGGTTGCTGCAGAGTGGCTGCATTCAGCCCTACACACCTTGGCATGGGGCTGAAGCATTGCTCCCCATGCCGGGCTCTTGTGCAAACTTCACCCTCTTTTAAAATATATATATTAATTGATTAGTTTATTTATTTGTTTTCCCCACCCTTGGCATAACAGGGAAGTTGTCAGCTACAGAGCTCAGGGGCCGTGGAAGGGGGACAGCAATGCTCAGGACCTGGAGGGTTTTCTTCCTCCACAAGCATCTCTGTGAGGAGATGGTCCAGCTTTTCCCACAGCAGTTTCATGCTGGGCGTTGTGTCTGACTGGTGGGACAGGACAGAAGCAGCTCATCCCTGTGATCTGCCCAGTGCTGCTTTCCTCACACACCCTCTCTAATCTCAGGAAAGCAGCTGTGGGATCCAGAGCTGGGAGGCTCTTGGTAAACAGCAAAAGCAAGAACAGCAGAAGGATCCTGGCTTCAGAAATGGGAGAAATAATCCAAACCAAACCAGCCCAAATGGGCTGTGATAATAATTAAAAAAAAAAAATATTTTTAACCCACCTGCTGGATCTGGAGGAATAGGGTGGAGGTGGATGGATGGATGGATGGATGGATGGATGGATGGATGGATGGATGTGGCACTGGCAGGAGGTGAGGCTGGTGATGTTGCTCCCATACTGGGGCTCACTGTGAAGGCAGGACCATCCTGTTCCTCCAGCTGCTGGCAAAGCCAGGATAAGGGACTTCTCCCTATGGGGGGGAACTACTCATTTCTCAACAAAGTGACACACTCAGGCCATTTTGAGTGCCAAAAGGGGATCTGCATACTGGAGAAGCTGGAGTGGGAAGCTGAGAGCTGGACAAGGGGTGAATTGGGTGAGGGACCCCCCTGACCACCCTGGCTGTGGGTTCTGACCCAGGTAAAGCAGGGCTGCTCTTTAAAAGCTGCTTCATCTTCCCAAACCAGCCCAATGAGACCCAAAGCCGTGGATCTGCAGTGGGCTCTGGCTTGGGGACATGTAGCTGGGCACTCCCCCTCCCCACTGTCCTCCAGCAGGTCAGGCTGGCAGCAGCCACATGTCACTTGTCCCCACCAGCGCCAGACCCCTGAGGAGCAGCATGGAACTCGGTGGGAGGTGGGAAAACACGGCTGGTGAAACACCCCAGGAGCCCTGAGCCTTCAGCATCCATCTGGGGGGCCCAGCCCTTTGACCCCCCCCAACCCCCCGCCTGCTGCCTCCCCCGGGGCCAAAATAAACAGGGACTAACTTTGCCCCCAGCCTTGTGCCCACGACGAGTTTTATTGCTCGTGATGCAAATCCCTGCGGATGCATGAAATGGCTCCAGCAAGGGTCCCCCGACCCCCTCCCCAGCACCAGGGGGGCCGCGGCCGTGGGGGAGATGGCGGTGATGAAGTTATTAGCTCCGGAAGCACTAATTGCTGCTGTATTAATGGCTCTTTTGTCCGGCGAGCTGCCTTTCAGTGTACGTGTGCTGGGCGGTTGTTTTTCTGCCAGCTGCTGTGTGGTTGGATGCTCTTCGGTATTTAGTTTGATCCTATTAAGGTGGATCTCAATTAATTAGGCAGGAGGCAGCGAGACAAAGAGAGACTCCGGGGCCATTCATTTCAGTCTTGTCATCGCGCCTTCTGCAGCCGGGAGGCAGCGGGAGAGCGGGAAGGGACGTGGGATACAGGATACAGGATACAGGATGTGAAAGCGCTGGGAGATGGGAACAGGGAGGGCAAGGTGGGGTGGCAGCAGGGTCCCCTAAAGATCTCCGGGTCCCCTGCCCACTGGCTGGGACTGTGAGGCAGGCTGACCTCCCCCAGCCCTGCGGAAAGGCAGATGCAGCCACCGGGTCCTACCCCCTGGGACTGTGGGGTCCTGCTCCACCCAAAAGCATCCCCTCAGATATACGGGGGATCTCTGGCAATTCCAACGGCGAGAGCTTTAGGTGAGGCAGGAGCACCCACCCTGCCTCCCCGCGCTGGGCACCGGGTCTGCATCCCTGCGGTGCTGCCCCAAGGGACGGGGCAGCCCCCGGGGGGCTCTGCAGCCCCCGGGTTGAGCCTCCTGCCCTGGTCCCCCCGCTCCCAGCTGCCGCACCCTCCGCGGAGGGGCTCCAAGAGCTGCAGCGGTGGGTCAGCCTCG